TTATATATATATGCCAAAAATAAGGGTAACTACTATGAAGGGATAGAATATGACTCTAAAAATGAAAAATAAAAATTTTTTTTTTTTTAAAGGGATAGATAAGATGTTGGTTGAAGGGCGCCTGGGTGGCTCAGTTGGTTAAGCAACTGCCTTCGGCTCAGGTCATGATCCTGGAGTCCCTGGATTGAGTCCCGCATCGGGCTCCCTGCTCGGCAGGGAGTCTGCTTCTCCCTCTGACCCTCCCCCCTCTCATGTGCTCTCTCTCTCTCATTCTCTCTCTCTCAAAGAAATAAATAAAATCTTTAAAAAAAAAAAAGATGTTGGTTGAAAAAGGGAAAAAGAAAAATTCAAAAAAAAAAAAAGACAGTTAAAAAAATTAACTTTGAAAGACTAAAGAATCATGGTAAAAAACCCATGAATTCTATGTACAGTATTCCCCTAGCGCTGGAGCTCTGCCATTCTCATTGATCGGTAAACTTGGTCTTGGCTGGCTGTTCTTGCTGATCTTCTGGGGGAGGGGCCTGTTGCCGTGGTTCCCAAATGTCTTTGCCGGAGGCGGAAGTGCCCCGCCCTTGCCCGGTCCAGGCTAAGTAATCTGCTGGGGTTTGCTCTCGGGAGCTTTTGTTCCCTGCAAGCTTTCTGTACAGCTTTGGGGGACGAGAGTGAAAATGGCGGCCTCCCAATCTCCGCCCTGGAGGACCCGAGAACTCGGGGGCCCACTCCTCAGTGCAGCCCCAGAGAAAAGCCGTCAGTCACTCCCGTCTCCCCGGTCTCCGGCCGCACTCCGTGCTCACCCAGCCTGTGGCCGAGCATTTCTGTCTCTGGCACCCGACCCCGGGTGGAGTCTCCAAACCCGGCAGATCCCTGCGGTGCACTCCTGCACCACTCCTTCCAGGGGAGGAAGGGGAGTGTCCCCAGATCTGCCGCTTGTTGGGTCCCTGCTGGAGGAGCAGGGGCCCGACTGTGCCGCGGATCACGGTTTATGGCCACCCCGAGCTGAGAGCCTGCGCCTCGGCTCCATCTCTGCAGCCGGCTTCCCTGCTCCGTTACCTGGGAGCTCTGCCGCACTCAGGCACCCCCGGTCTTTCTGTGACCCCGAGGGTCCTGAGACCACACTGTCCCGCGAGGGTTCCATCCCCCTGCTTAGCCACTGGAGCGACGTCCCTCAGCAGAGCAGACTTTTATAAAAGTTCTGATTTTGTGCTGGGAGGCTCTATCACTTGCCAGAAGTGGCAGACGGAGGCCCCCTCCCCTGCTGTCTATCTTCCCGAATATCGCCTCGGATTCACTTCTCCGCACTTCCTACCTTCCAGAAAGTGGTCACTTTTCTGTTCAGAGTTGTTGCTATTTTCTTCGATCTCCTGTTGAGTTCGTAGGTGTTCAGAATGGTTTGATCTCTATCCAGCTGAATTCCGGGGACCAGACGAAATCCAGGTCTCCTACTCCTCTGCCATCTTGCTCCTCCTCTTAAGATTCCTTCTTTACCACCTTTTTGGCAGTTTGATTACAATAAGACTTGGACAGATTTGATTGATGTTTATTTTACTTGGGTTTCAGTTTGTCTTTTGGTTCTGAAAGTTCATAACTTTTTAAATCAAATTTGAAAAAAGTTTGGCCATTCATCAAATATTTTTTTCTCTTCCTTCCCTTCTCTTTTGGAATTCCAGTTGCACAAGTGTTAAATCATTTGTTATTGTCTCAGAGGTCACTAAAGACTAATTTTTTTCAGCCTTTGTTTTTCTCTGTGCCTCATTCTGGACACTTGTATCACTATCCAATATGTATATTGGATTTGTGCTCTTTTAAAGTTCTTGTCTATTGATTAATTTGATTATCTTTTTAATTTTGGGTCTGTTTTATTTACTGACTTTTCTCCAAGTTATGGGTCGCATTTTTCTGCTTCTTCATATATGTAGCGATTTTAGTGGGATGCAGAATATCATGGTTGTATGTTCTTGAATGCTGAATTTTGTTATATCTTTTTGGGTGAATTTAGTATATTTTTAATGCTCATTTAGCCCCACTTTTAAGGTGAGGTTTTTCTGGGCTCTCCACTAAATGTATTATATGTTCATGATGATCTCTTCATTTGGGCTTATGGGAACTTGAATGATTCTCAGACCTTTACTGGCTCCAGGAATTGTTCAGCATACAGCTTGCTGGTAATTGTTCTGTCCTCTGAAATTGTTCATGCCCAGTGATTTATTTGTATATTGAAATTCAGCCAAAGACTTGATGGGACTCCTATGAAGATATCTGGAGCACTTCTGCATAGCTCCCTCCTCTTAGGCAGTCTGCCCCACATATTCTAATTGCCTTGGCTTCTCCAAATGATAGTTTCTGTCTCCTCAGTTCACTGATATACCCAAGTTTTGTTTGGATTTCCCTTCCTGTACTTCAGTGGAAATTACACAAATTCTGCAAAGGTAGAGCTCACCTCATTTGTTTCTCTTTCCTCCAAGATTATTATTGTCCTGTACTGCTTACCATCAAGTTTCTTAAAATAGTTATTTCCTAAACTTTGCCCAGTTTTCTAGTTGTTTATGGATGGAGCGTAATTACATGTCCTTGTTATCCCTTGTGGCCAAATTCTGACAAAACTTAGAATGGAGGTTGGTTTTAGAAAATCCTGAAATTTAGTGTTTTTGACATATAATAGAATTGAATGTAAATTCAACTTTAAAAAAAAGAAAAAAGAAAGCTAGCTGCCTTTGTTATTTGATCTCACAAATCCTCTGGAGTCCAAGTCCTTCTACTAGATGGAAAAAATAAAATTGGCCAAATAAAACTAACTCAACTTCTTTTGATTTTAAAATATTTTAGGGAAATAAATCAGTCAATTAAATGTTAGTCACAACTGTGTCTCCCCTCTACAGAGTCTTCTCTAACTTTCTTTCCTTTACAACTGGCTTCTGGGTCTATGGCAGCATGGTGTGTATTGGGAGGTCCACGTGCTGTCTTCTGGACTTTTCCTTTCCTTCTCTCATCACTGGATAGCCCACAACAGTGCCTTCTGAGGTATGACTGGTCTGGTCTTGTTCTGTGGTGTCATATCTGTTAGTGCCTCTGGATCTTGTCATGTTTCCTCATCCTAATGTCCCCACAGTGACTCTTCTTCATTCTGCTGATTGGCTCAAATCTATGATCCTCGTTGGAGACCCAAGAGCCATGAGCTGATTTTCCTCGTCATGCCACGGTATGCAGAATTGAGGCAGCCTTCAAACATTTCCTCAGATGTTGCTTTTGACTACATAGCACCAACACAAGGCTGAATACAAAGCTTTGCTAAGCAGTTTACAGCATTCCCTCTTCCCTCTCCCCAGGGCATTAGTACCCAAGTAGGTAGGTAGGTCGCTAATATCTATACTCTCCTTCTTTTTCTCTAGTTTCCAAATCCTATTCTTCTTAGTGAAGGAAAGTTTCCTTCCTGTCATAAGGAAACTTCCTTTGCAGTATAGTCTCTTTTCTTCTTATGCTGTGTCTTCTTATAAATACAATACTATAGGAATCGAGTGAATCAAACCAGACTTTCAACTGTAAAGAGAAGTTTTTGGAATTTAAAAACACTCTTGTTCTTTAACAAAGTATGCCTTCCTGACTAAACTTTTGCAATGGATTGAAAGAAGTCAGCTTGAGGACTCAAAGAGGAATAAAAGAACTCTTTGTTCTGTACCTACTCTCACTCTGAAGCAATACCATTGATTCAACAGGTAAGGCAGCCAGTAAACATCTAGGACTAGGAAACAAAAAATAAAGAAAACACTGATTTAATACCTGAAAAAAATATTATTTTCTATAGTAAGTCTTTTCATGAGAATTAACTATCATTATATCCTCCTCATCCTTATTAGCATCCCCATGGCCTAGTTTTAATAATAGTAAGAGCTAAAACATAATGATTGTGTAAGGTGTATAATCACTGGTCTATGTATGTACTGCTGTAAATGCTTTAAACTTAACCCTTCTAACAAGCTTATATCCTATGTATTATCATTACCCCTATTTTACAGAAAGGAAAGCTGAGACACAGAGAGGTTAAGGAACCTGCCCAAGATCACACAGACACTCTCTCTTGGATAAAATTACTTAATCTCCATTTTTAAAATATTCATTTACAGAGTGAGAATAACAGTTGCAATAATATAAATGAGGCAGTATGTGTAGCAATGAAGCAAAAGCTTCCCACATCCACACTGCCTGGATCCAAATTCTGTGTTTCTGAGTAACTAGCTGGTACCTTTGAGTTCCTTGACCTCACTGTACCTCAGGTGCATCAAGTATAAAGCAAGAAGGATGATAAATGTATGTGCCTTTCAGGATTATTATGAGGATAAATGAACTAAGATCAATAGAACTTGGACCAAAACTTGACACACAGCAAGTTCTCAATAAATATTAGCTTTTCTCAAAGTCTACCCTACGTTATCTAAAATCCTGGAGGCCAGGTGAGTTTTGAAATTTGGAGACTTTTTTATAATGGCAATACAGAGCATTACCCAAGTGGGATCTAAGAAACACCTCATGACCAAACGTTAAGCTTTCTATAGCAAAATGTATGAATATTCATTTTAAGTGGGAGAAATAAAGACTAAGAATAGCCACATGTCAGTTCAGGTCAGATTTTGTTGCTGCATCAATTATTCCAAAATTTTAATTTTCAGAGATTTTTTATTATAAAATTTCAGATGAGGTATTATGGACTGTATGATTCCATATTGTTGTGTGAATTAAATGAGGTGATTTATGCAAGCTAAGCTAAGCACAATGCCTGGCCCATAGTAAGTTCTCCATATATGTACATTTGACATTGTTATTGAAATTAATGCTATTTAATGTTATTATATTAATTCCGCAAAATATTTACAGCTAGAGCAACATCTTTATGGGGTTTTTTAAATAGAATTTTCCTAGACATTCCCACAGATAACTTCCTGTGACATTCCCAGGTTTCCTTACTGTATCATGTTTTATGCCTGAGCATGAAATTCAACTCTCCATACCCTTTATGTCCTTCATCTTCCTTGGTGAACAGTCCTTGTTCGATCCCCCAACTTTGTCCGTGTCTCATCAGTCACAGTGAAAGAAGGACACAGTCTCACAGAAAACAAAAGGAAGAAAGAATAAAAGAATGGCTGTTATTTATTGAACACTTGCCCTGGAATCTGTGCTAGATACTTCATATAATTATTGCATTTAATTCTTGCAGTTACTTTGTGGAGTAGGTATTGTCATTCCCATTTTACAAACTGAGAAACTGAGACACACAGAGGTTAGGTGATTGCCTAAAGACTTTGGAAGGAAGTCCCTGAAGTTGCTTATCTGCTTCTTCCCCCACCCCACTCCTTCCACTTGTGAGGAGGAACCATAGTTTATTCACATTTTCTAAGGGACACATGCTGTTCCAAAGTTTAAGAACCACTGAAGTTCAGATGTCATGAAACTACCAGACACAATGGGTGGACTAATGAGTGCTATCAGATTCCAGATTTGGGTGGAATTTCTTCACAAATTCTCCCTCCAACCTAGATGGTAGAACATTGGTCCCTCTGCAAGGATGGGGATTAAAAGACATCCCAACAACAACATTTCTGTTCTCAGAACCACAGGGGTACAACCTTCCCTTTGCAGCTCGCCTTCAGCACTTTCCCCACAACCTCTGTCTTGTTCCTTCCCTAAATCTGATTTGCTCCTCCCTTCAGTAAGTCATACTCACCAGGTTAAAATCTCCTTTGAAAGTGGGGGCCATTCCTAATTTTTCTTTCTATCCATCTCCAAACTACAATATTTTACACATAGTTACTTCTTGGTTTCCTGAGCCTCTCTTTGGTGTTGCCACTATTCATATGCCACTTTATGTATTAAACTACATTACTGGGGCCCCTGAGTGGCTCAGATGGTTAAGCGTCTGCCTTCGGCTCTGGTCATGATCCCAGGGTCCTGGGATTGAGCCCCACGTCTGGCTCCTGGCTCAGTGGGGAGCCTGATTCTCCCTCTGCTTCTCTTCCTGCTCATGCTCTCTCTCTCTCTCTCTGTATCTCTGTGTCTTGAATGAATAAATAAAATCTTTTTTAAAAAATTAAAAAAAATAAACGACATGATCCCTCCACTGAAAAATGTAAATAAATTTTGAGTTTTAGGGGCTCCTGGGTGGCTCAGTCCTTAAGCGTCTGCCTTCGGCTCAGGTCATGGTCCCAGGGTCCTGGGATCGAGCCCCACATCGGGCTCCCTGCTCAGTGGGAAGCCTGCTTCTCCCTCTCCCACTCCCCCTGCTTGTGTTCCCTCTCTCACTGTGTCTTTCTCTGTCAAATAAATAAAATCTTTAAAAAAAAAATTTTTTGAATTTTAAATTAATAAGCATTGGGAAATAGAAAGCATTTCTTTTCTTTCTTTTTTTCTATTTTATTTTCAAGGCCATATCTATCAACTCCACTACATTTTCTGGATGATACAAACAAAGATACCAGAGATTTTGGAGTAGAAAGTATATGCCTAACCCTAACATTGGCCCATAAAACTCCTCAAATTGCACCTTGCAACCGTTGTCAAAGGAGTTCATTGAAACAGCAATATTAATTTAATAATGTATGGTTTTAGTTTTTGTGATGAAATAGTTCGGAGGAATGTGTTTGAGTAAATTCTTAGTGTTTTATCTGAAAGTCCATTCTACAGTAATAATAATAGGGAGGTACTCGTGTTTTTTCCTAACTTCCAAATAAAATGCTGAGATATGGATAGGGCAAATCACTTATCTAAAGTCACCCAAGAAAACACAAAGGTTTGGGGAAGAGAGTTTCTTTTAACTTACGAATAGGAAATCCAAATCAACTGAAGAAGCCAAGGAATTTTAAAAAATGCAATAAAGAGGTTCAATTTCCATTTCATTTTCTGTGCAGTGAACATTAGAATTTTCTTTAAAATTTTTTAGAGAGATAAATGTCATCTATAAAAAAGAGATGATCTGAAGCACTTCCGATTTATATAATCAATTTTTAAATTGAAATTTTATCACAAAGCTAATAAAAAAGAGACAACAATAAAAAAAAAAAAAAAACAGGATGAGTGAGACATTCTACAGTTTCTCAGTTGAAAGGAACAGCACTTCCTTTTCTCATGATACCAGAAGCTCCCTGGATACTGGACCATATCTGATTAGAATGTATGTCCCTCCAGCAGAGCAGTTGGGTTACTTTTCCCAGCAGCTGATTGGGTCACAGGGCACTCAGCTGACCACCAGCTTATTACATTCCCAAGACTGAAGACTCTCCTTTTTTTTTCCCAGCACTTAATGCATCATTCCTCTCTTTAGGATCTCAGGCTCCTTCCTCTGAGAAGTAATACAAAAAGACTGCTTAATTGCGGCTCTTTCAAAGTGGAGCATGATCAGTTTTCTCCTCTTTAATTCCTGGAGAGTAAATGGAAAAATATGTTCAATGCCTGTTGTAACTATGACCTCCATTTGCTCAATTAAGGAATGGGCATTTAAAATTTTTGCCCTGAAAAAATAATTACTACACAGTTATTATATTTTAGCTTTATGTCAGGAAGACAAGAATTCCATGGGATTGAAAATTAACAGTAACATTAGGGAACAAAGGACTCATTAACCAGGAATTAGGCCACTAACCTAGTTTATGTCCAGTGATATACGTTCTACAAAAGAAAGACAACCTCCTCTAGCTTACACAAAAATGAATGACAGAATGTGTGATTTGGGATCATTTCCGTGGCTTACAACTCTGGAGGGCAGTGGTGATAGCCTGTGGAGCCAGAGTGGAGAAATGACGCTGAAAGTGCCTTGATGTCTAAATTCCATTGATAACTTTTAAGCAAAAATAACAGTCAAGTGAGCTGTGGAAATAGTAGTGGAAGAGAGAGGATGTTTCAAGAAAAATATTCACACAATTGTTTAACACCGAGCTGATCAAACAAAATAGAATTGTGAGCCATTTTCTTCTAAGGAAGAAAATAGGATGTTTACATTCTTAATTTTTCCTTTCATCTGAGTCCAAGTATGAAGAATCCAACAGTCTAAGCCTGGCTGCATCTTTCAGTAATTCTCCTTCAGAGAAGCCTTCAGTGAGGAATGAAGAAAGCCAATGGCCGGGAAAGGAAGCTGTTTTAATGGGATGGGGAAAGCCGAGGAGAAAGAGATGAGGATATGAAACAATGAATTCAAAAAGGGAAATACCTCCCAAGATCTCATTTTTTTCTCTGTGGTTCTTAACCAGGCATAAGCAGCAGAATTACTTAGGGAGCTTTTTCATTACACAATTGCCAGATGCCGCCCTAGGCTTCCTAAATCAGAAACCCTGAAAATAGGACATGGGCCCGGATCTTTTTTAAAAGTTCCACCAGTGATTCTGAAGCACATTTCATCTTCAGAATATCTTAAGAACATCTTAAAAACTACAGGATTACAAGCCTGTAATTCACCTTTCCCCCAGGCTTGGCCGCTCTGTGCTTACAAAACCACAACAACAGCAATGGCTAAAAACTCATGGTCCTCCATGCGTAATTGCACAGTCTCATCCAACTATTTCTGTAGTCCTCAAATCCATAGCATGGGATTGGAAAGAACTCCTCCCAGATTTTTCGGCTTCTCATCCCTTGTTGAGTTCTTGGCTAGCAGAACCACTTAAGAGTGGTACTTAACGCTGGCTCCTTGCTCAGAGAGCTGACCCCTAACCTGGTTCTCTCGAGTGCAAACCCTCTCGAGTGCAAGCTCGAGCAGCATTTGCCATCTCAGAGCCAGGCTGTGTTATGCCTAGACATGGTGAAGTGATGCTCCTCCATGGCCCAGAAGCACAGGCTCACAAAGACTGAGACCCAATCTCAGGACTATATAATGCTTCTCCTTCCCCCCCATAACTCACCACCACATTACTAAACTTATTTACAACAGTTGCTTTTACTGGGTATATCATGTCCAACTATCGCGAAAAACTTACAAGACACACCAAAAGATAAAAAACACAATTTGAAGAGATAGAGTAAGCATCACAACCAGACATGGTAGGAATATTAGAATTATCAGACAGAGAAATTAAAACAACTATTAATATGCTAAGGGCTCTAATGGATAACATAGAAACCATGCAAGAACAGATGGGCAATGTAAGGCTAGAGATGGAAATTCTAAGAAAGAACCAAAAATGCTTGAGATAAAAAACACTACAACAAAAATGAAGGATGCCTTTGATGGGCTTATTAGTCAACTGGACAAAGCTAAGGAAAGAATCTCTGAGCTTGAAGATATGACAATTGAATCTTCAAAAAGCAAAAAGCAAGCTGGTGCAGCCACTCTGGAAAACAGTATGGAGGTTCCTCAAAAAGTTGAAAATAAAGCTACCCTATGACCCAGCAATTGCAATACTGGGTATTTACCCCAAAGATACAAATGTAGTGATCCGAAGGGCTACGTGCACCCCAATGTTTATAGCAGCAATGTCCGCAATAACCAAACTGTGGAAAGAGCCAAGATGTCCATCAGCAGATGAATGGATAAAGATGTGATATATATATATACAATGGAATATTATGCAGCCATCAAAAAAAAAATGAATTCTTGCCATTTGCAACGACCTGGATGGAACCTAGGGTATTATGCTGAGCGAAATAAGTCAATCAGAGAAAGACATGTATCAAATGACCTCACTGATATGAGGAATTCTTAATCTCAGGAAACAAACTGAGCATTGCTGGAGTGGTGGGGGGTGGGAGGGATGGGGTGGCTGGGTGATAGACATTGGGGAGGGTATGTGCTATGGTGAGCGCTGTGAATTGTGTAAGACTGATGAATCACGGACCTGTACCTCTGAAACAATACATTATATGTTAAAAAAAAAGAAAGAAAGAAGATCGTAGGAAGGGAAAAATGAAGGGGGGCAGAATCGGAGGGAAAGATGAACCATGAGAGACTATGGACTCTGAGAAAAAAACTGAGGGTTCTAGAGGGGAGGGGTTGGGGATCGGTTAGCCTGGTGATGGGTATTAAAGAGGGCACGTATTGAATGGAGCACTGGGTGTTATACGCAAACAATGAATCATGGAACACTACATCAAAAACAAATAAATAAATAAATTTTTTTAGAAAG